GCGCTGTTTGTGCCCGGGAGGCCCTGCAGGGATGGGAGGGCAGCCGAGGCTTCCGTGCCATTTTTTTCTGTAGTGGTTTTGCACCGGTGCTCTGCAGGTATCTACACACGTTCAGCAGTGGTATATGTAAAGTGAAAAGCTGAACTTTACGTGTGGATGATTTATTCCAGACTTTGTTCCCTGATAGTTTCTCTGTTCCTGACGTTCCCCTTCCCAGTTCCTGTTTTCTCTCATAGCTGCCCCTCTGGGCTCCTGCATTTTCAAGGAATGGGTCCTGAGCATGGGTGCTCTGAGATTCAGGGAGCAACAAAGGAAGCAAAGGACTTGTTGGGTGTATGGGAAGTCAGATTGATAGTATGAAATGCTTGGCACCTGATTGTAGAATTAATTTGTCTTAGTTCTTTGCTTTCCTGTTGTATTTGTTCTCGAGTGCTTAGGGAAATGCTGAGTGCTGTGACACACTGGGTGCACATGTGGCATGCATGGTCATGCCTGTCCAAGCCCTCTGGTTGAAAACTGCAGCATATTTTTATTTCACACACACCTTCATGTGGGCTTTTGAAGGCAGCAGAATTCCCTCTTTCTCTCTTAGTCCTAAGCAGTGAGGAGAACAGCAGCAGCAGCACTGGCTGGCACAGGCAGTGACCCAGCACAATTGCTAGTTTCTGTTCTGTAGCTGCTCCCAGCTTGTTTCTAGGTGGGATCAGTGGTTCTTGCACTCAGATGGATGCTTGTCTGCCACGTGCCAGGTTCTGTTTCAGCTGAATTGCAGTTCTCTGAAATACTTGACCATAGGAAAAAGTCATGGATTTTTGTCTCCTGGCTTGAGCAGCTGGGCCATGGGTTCTGTCCAAGCTTTGTGTTAAAGCAGGCTGCAATTGCAGTGCTTCCTGCTGTGGGAGTGCTGCCATTTTCCTGCTGAGAGCAACTGTGTTAACACTGTCTGTGCTTTCACCCACACAGTGGTGAAAGCATTTGTTCTTAACATGGACAAGTACATGCTCAGAAATTAATGTGCTTTCATGGAGAAGACTTCTTCCATGTGCTGTTCTGCTTTCATGTTTAACTAATGTGTATGTGCACTTTGCTAATTCACTCTGCTTTTGTTTTAGGTACAACTCCAAAAGGAGGCACTGGAGGAGGACCAAACTGGGCTTGTAAGAGAGACTGTCCCAGGAGCTCTAATGAACATTGGTCTTTCTGTGTCAGATCCATAACAGCCTCAAGTCATTCCTTCTGTGGTGCTGGAGTGCAGTCCCCAGTGTGGGGTTTTTATAAGCTGGTCTGGGATTTGGATGTTAACTGGGAAAATCTTTGTATCTGAAACATGGAGACTGTGTTCTATTAGTGTTCTTTCAGGCATCACCATGAGCATTGGCACTGCACAGGCTTACTAATAAATATGGACCTGAATGACTTTGGTTTTGGAAATTATTTCACGAGGATGTGGTGGGATTGTAACAATCAAATTAATGGTAATATTGGTTATATTCTCACTTAATATGAGGAACCTTGGTAGCTGTTCAGGTAGAGTAAGCTCTGTCTTCCTTTTCACTGACTGTAAACCTTCAGGAGCAAAGTACCAATTTTTAAAAAAGTCAAAATCAGACCTGAAGAAAATCTCTTGCAAAATGCAGTACTGTAGAGTGCAGTGCATAATGTCTGTGTACTCCCTAGAATATTAAATAATATGAGTTTTGTTCAGGAGTCTGGGTTGGTTTGATAAGCTGCACCTGTGGCTGGTGTTGATTTATTAAAAACATTCTCAGCAGACAGGTGGAAATTTAAGATGGGTTTCAAAGGGAGAGTTTGCAGCTGTTTAAAAAAGGGGAGAGGAAAAAGGGGCTTAAGGGTCTCTGGCACTCCAGCTCCCCTGTGCTGGTATTCTCTGCTGGGGCCTGTGAAATCAGTTTACTGCATGGAGATGGAGGAGGAGCTGTGGCTCTGCATCCAGTCCTCTCTGTTCACTGCTCTGAGCTGGGGTGGCTGCTCTGCTCAGCAGGAAATCCCTGCTGCTGTGAGCCTGTCCTGGGCTGTGGCCAAGCCCATCCTGACACTGGGGGCTGCCAAGGTGCTGCTTCATTCCTGAATTCAGCCTCAGCCCGTGGATCTGTCCTGAGAGGCAGTTCCTGAGGAAGCTTCAGGCTGCCATGCCTGCTGGGTTGCTGCTTTTCACACTGAGCGTAAATAGATTTATGTCTTTTGTATTGCAACTCTGAGCAAATAACTGGGCGCAGCATGGGCCAAACAGGAAAATGCTCAGAGAAATATGCATCTCACTCAGAGGTCATGAGGTACCTCCTTCCTAAGGGGTGCTGCAGGGTTCTGTAAGTCAGGGTGAGCAAGGCTGGGATTTTTACCAACTTCAGGATACTTCAGTGGTATCCTCCAGCTCCTTATCCTGTCTGGAAAGAGTCTGGGCTCCATCATCGGGGGAAGCAGTAAGTCATGCAGCAGGAAAGCAGCAAACAGCAGTGCCAGAGGTGTTGGAAAAGAGGCTTGTGTGCTGCAGCCACTCTGACCTCAATGATTTTTAAAGCTTTCCTGCACTCTTTGAAGTGAGTGTTCAGGAAATAACAGCACTACTGAGGACTGGAGTTCTGCCTTGGCATCCAGCTTACCTCCTCCAGCCTCCACATCACTGCTGGCAGGCAAAGCTGCTCACAGTGTTTCTCTGCAATTGTGTCTATGGGGATCTGGCTGAGGAGGAAAACAGCAATTTTATGGGCTTGAGAATGGAAAGAGACAGTTTTTTCCATGGCATTTGTGGGAAAACTTTCCTGAGCAACAGACTGGACAATTTATTACTATTTATTAGAAAGTTTCCCTATTACTATCATGACTAATATTCTTATTAGGTGGAAGTAGCTTCTACTAAGGAACTGTTTTGGAAAATAACCCCTTGTATTATTTTCCCTATTTGAATCTGCTTTTAAAGCTGGACATTAAGGGATAACACAAAGTTAATTTAGTACAAATTGAACTTGGGTTAAAATCAATCCTCTGCAGAACCTTAACCAAACAAATATCTCTGGTTTGAATGTTTTCTGTTGTCTGTGGCAGCTCTCTTTGCCCTCTCCTCCCTGTGAGAGGGGATCAGGAATCTCTGCAGAACTGAGCTAACACATGAAAACAGACATCAACAGAAGCTTTAAAGAGAAAAAAAAAATTGGATATTGTAGTCCATTGATTTTGGTGGATATGCTTTGTTTTCCAAGTGAAAAGCAAAGTTGGAGCTGATTGTATACTTGAGGAATATTTTTCTAAACATGTCTATGTATCCAAATCAGCTGCCTTTCTGTAGGTGTGAAAATGAACCAAGTGAGACAAAGGGGTGGCTCACTGGAAGATTATTTTTTTTTGCTCAGTGGAAAGGGACCCACCCAGGGCAGGGGGTGACATGGTGAGGATGTTGTAACACATCTAGAGAAGCAGAGTTCTGGTTCTGCTCTGAAGTCCCCACCTAATTTGTCTCAGCACAGAATACTGGGTCAAACCCATGACCAAAGGATGAGGGCAAAAGCTTTCTTTAGGGGGTTTTGGTTATCTCTCAACAGGAGGTAATAACTGAAAATCATGTTGTGGTATTTAGGTGCAGCATTTGTCAGCCAAATTTCACTTGCAAATGGAACATTTAAGTCTGTGTTTCTGGGTGGAGCATGACTAAGCCACAGGTACTATTGCCAAAGAAATGGCTCCTTCATGGAAATTTTCAATTCCACTGTTTACTCTGTGCCTTACTCAGAGGAGGATGTAAGAGCCATCCTGTGCCCCTTCCCTGACAGCTGTTAAAGGGTAACAGAAGACTAATAGGCAAAAAAATATTTTATCAGTCCTGTCTTATCAACAGCACTTTGGTTACCAGAGCTTGACACTCACCAGTGCTGTTCATGGAGTTTGTGCTGGCATGAGCACACTGGTGAGAAGCCAGCCTGCTCTCCCATGGCACGGACATGGCCACAGCAGTTCCAGAAGGAGCTGCATTGCCAATATCTTCAATGTATTAGAGCTAAAGCATTGTAGATTGGGCATTAAATCTAGTTCTAATGTGTTTTGTATGTATCTGCTACTGACCTCAGGGATTAACATGTCCAGACACATCTATAAATCCACCCAGGCACCTGGCTGGGCATTATCCAGTCACTGGATCCCTGCTCACTCATGTGGAGGCTGCTCTTCCACATGTCATTACTGTGGACTGGGTTAGTTTGATGTCCAAGCAGCATTTCAAAACACAGTCTGAATATAACTGGAGTTTGCTCAGGATCTGTGAAAGCCCCCAGCTCTAGTTCCCCAGAGGAAGTCACCTGTGTGTTTTTCTGCATCAAGATGCAAATGCACCTGTGTAGCCAGCCCAGATCACCTTGAGTCTCTCTGTCACCCCTGCAGGCCCCCTGACAGGCAGCTGGAAAGAAAAGCACAACTGCCCCCCTAAAGGAGTTGTCCCTGCAAGGGCTGCCCTGGGGAACAGAAACTCCCCAGTTCCTGTCTGAGAACCACTTCTCAAACACAACTGCTATTTCAGGGTGTAGGAATAGTCTTGTGCTGATTAGAAAGAGGAAGGGGCTGTTGTTTTTCTGAAGATATTTTGAAGCAGTACTGGCCTTTGAGAATGTAAAAAGCAACTTGAAATCATCAGGGCAGAACTTCACTTGGTGAACAAAACACAAACAGGCGAGCAAAGGCTTTGCCCTTTTAATGCAGTGACAGACATACATGCACTGTTATGCTGCTGCAGCAATGTTCATCAGTTTCATTTTTGAGCATGACCTCAGTAGCAATAAAAATAATCTCAATCTCACAGACTTCACATACCTTTTCCACAGTTTCTGAGGATGAATCATCTTTGCAGAGCTGTTCCTGAACTCTAATCCCCACAGGGGCCACCACGTGCAGCCTCCCTTGTGTCCTTCCTGCCTCCTTTGCTCTGGCCCCCATTCCTAATGAGGATGAGCATTTCAGGCTTCCTGGGATGGGATCTCAAGGGAAGGGTTGCCAGTGTGAGTTGTTTTGCATTTTGAAAGGCTTTTCTTGGCCTGGACTCTTCTAACAGGGCCCTTAGCCCTTACTCCACTGAGAATCACCTTTATAATCAGCTGTCATAAACAAACATCAACCCAGAGAAGGTGCATATGGCAGGAGATTTCAGAGGAAGCTGGAAGGTGTTTGCAGCGTGAAATCCACACATGGTGGGTCAGCATCCTCCTGACCATCCATGGTGGGCAAGCAGGGTGTTGGAGCAGCTCCCCACAGCACAGCTGACACGTGAGCCCTGACCATGGTGATCTGTTAGGATGCAGCAAGGAGTCCCCATCCATGGGGGCACAGACAGGCAGTTTTTTGGAAGGGCTGTCCCAAGGTACTGCTCCCAATGGCCATGGTGCTCCACACAGCCACTGGAATAGCCCCAAAAGACCACAAGACCCAGGGTGGCCATGGTGCCATGGCTTAACCCTCACTTGGGCAGGATTTTGAGTAGCCAAGTTCCCAGCTCCCTGCAGGCTTTTCCAGCTGCTATCCAGCATGGGTTTACTGGTGAATGGAGGCAGGAGAGCTTCAGCGCTCATGGAAGAAAGCAAAGGCCTGTCTAACAAAGCCTCGTAGGGTCGACAGGCCCCAGGAGTGTTGGGCAGCTTTTCCCTCAGCCCCAGAGTCCACACAGTCCTGCCCTGCCCCAGCCTCTCTGGATGACTTACAGTTGTTGTTGGTGTTGTGGGAGTGCAGCTGGACCAAATCCTCCTCCAAGGCCCCTGCCAGCTCCTTCAGGTCCCTGGAGGTGTGTGCTGGCAGGTACTGCCAAGCCTTGCGCCCATTGTGGTCCCTGCAGGTGGTGTCTGCCCCGTAAGCTCCCACCAGCACCTTGATGAGCACCTCGTGTCCCTGCAAGGCAGCCAGGTGCAAAGGGGTGAGCCCGCCGCTGGCTGTGGGGATGTTCATGTTCACAGGGTAGCCTTTCTTCTGGGCGTGGGAGATGACCTGGATGAAGCTCTCATGGTGGCCATGCTTGGCAAGCCAGTGGAGAGCGGTGAAGCCTGTCACAAAGTCTCTCCTGGTCAGCAGGCTGGGATCCAGGTCCAGCAGCTTGATGATGCTGTCTGCATCGCCCTCGGCCACCGTCAGCAGCCACGCGTGCTCCAGGGGATCAAGGACAAGAGGCAGCAGATCAGGGCTCTGCTCAGGCTTCTGCTCTTGGTGCAGCCCTGCAGGAACACTGCTGCTGCTGGATGTCTTCTGGGCAGTGGCAAACCGCAAGGTGCTGCCAGAGCTGTTGCTCTGCAGGAGGATTTCCTTCAGCTCCTTCCTCCGGGTACTGCTGGGGCTAACGGAGAACCTGCCTGAAGTCCTACCCCAGCTCCCCAGGCTGTGCCTGCTCCAGTTGGTGCTTTTGTTGGTGTCCGTGTTCTGCGGCGTATGGAAACGCTCCAGCGTGGCGGGCCAGAGATGGGAGCCGCGGGCCGGGCCGCCCGCTCGGGGCTGGGCGCCATCCAGGAAGGTGAACCTCCGGGAGATGCCAGCTACCTTCTGCTCTGCCTCGCCCCTGTCCCGCTCCTGCCGGGCCATGGCGGTGCCTCTCGCAGGGCTGTCCCCAGCTCCCCAGCCTGGCACGGCTCACGCTGCCCGGCACTCACCCCGCGCTTCCCCTGCCGGTCCCGGGCGAAGGAGGAACCGATCCGCACGGCGGCGGGGCATGGCGGCGGCGGGCACGGCGGCGGCGGGGCGGTGCGGTGACCTTTGCCCGCTCACGCTGTGTCCGTGAGGCACGGCTCGAACACGGCTGGCTCTGCCCACACGGACCGACACGCTCCCCTGAGCCGGCACCGAGCGAGCGCGGCCGGGCTGCGGGAACGGGTATGAATAGAGGGAAAATGCGGGAATACAGAGAAAGTGTGGGAATACAGGGAACGTGCGGGAATACAGGGAAAGTGTGCGGGAATACAAGTAAGTGTGGTAATACAGGGAGCGTGCAGAACCGCAGGACCAGACTGAGGCACGGGGGTCCCGGGCAGCTCAGTGCTGACGCTACAGCAGAAATTGCTGAACTGTATTCTCCTGCCTGAACAGTCTCCTTTAGCACTGCTGGCTCAGCATTAGCACCTGAAGCAGCCAAAGCTTTAGGCCGTAAGAGCTGACCAAACATAAACTTTTGATAAAATGATGCTGCTAACACAACAGCCTTGGAATTCAGCAGATATGAGCAGAATGGAGGTGATAAGGGCCAAGGAGACAATCCCAGGAGAATAAGGGAACATCAGAAGGCAGCCAGCCCAGCTCCAGTGAAACCCAGCAAGAAATCAAGATACTGCCAACCAGAATTTAGTGATTGGCTTGGGTTGGGTGATGAGTGTCAGGGGTACAACTGAGAGGTGTGAATTGGGGTAGGGGTCCCTCTCTGGAAACACCAGCCTGAGCTGTAACCAAAGAACTAACAAAAAACTCATTGGAAACATTCACTTGAACCCAGCATTCTTAGCAGGGTCAGACCGTGTTACATTGTCTGGTGTCTGTAAATCCACAACACTGGTCCCAGGACACTTCCTCTGACCCCAGCAGCACCCCAAGGTTGTCTCACTGAAGCAATTCCCTTAGAGCTCCCCTGAAACAACCCCCATGGCTGCAATGCTTGTCCTCGATGCTGTGCTCAGGAAGGCCCAGGTTACTGCCCCCAGAGCCCATGTTCCAGCGGCTGGTGGGTTTCTCTGATGTAAGGGAAGTGCCTGGGACACTCTTTGGCTCTTTGCCACCCAATGTTTCATCCCACTGGGAATTTGGCCTTTCCCTCTTGCCATAATCCCCTTTGTAGTACAGCCCATGCCTGGCGTTGCTGGCAGCTGCGGCCAGTAGTCTGTACCCTAATTTTGTTATAAATCAGGAATAGTTCTTCTGCTGTAAATTCTTCGCAGTCGTCTTTCTCTCCAGAAGTTTCTTATCCATGACTGCTCTGACACCCGTGACTGAACTGTCACCAGGTGGTTTTGCAGGTGGTCAGGCAGCTAAAAGCCACAACAGCCCCTTGAAGCTTTTTTCTTTGCCTTCCCTAAGCTTTAGCCCTGCTCTGACTTGCCCTGAGCTGGTCGTCAGCCTTGAGGGCCTTTGCCTTTTTCCAACCACTTGGACCAGTTTTTCTGGGATGTGTGGGGAGTTGGCATAGTCTCAAACCCCAAACAACTGCTGGTAAAAGCGTAATTGCCCCCTTGTTCCCTTTCTGGAGCTGCCTGATTTTGTCACTGGGTTTTGGTGGCTTCTGTGGGCTCAGGGAGGCAGAGAACTTGAACCATACAGCCATGAGATCCTGGTGAACAGTTGAAAACACTTGGGCGGCATCCGGGGAAAACAAGGAGGAAAATAAGGAGCTGCTCTTGGGAATGAATGCATTAATGGCACAAAACATGCCTCCCATTCAGGGCCACCGTGGCCATGGCTGCATTAGGGACTGACTGGACACACTGGTGAGCTCTGACCACGACAAAATCAGGGTGACAACTTCGGGGACTTCACTCGGGAGTCCAGGGGCCAGGACAGTTACTCTGGGGAAGGACTGAGTTACCCTCAGCCTCGTTTGGTGCTTGTGCTGCCATCACATGAAGGGAAACCCAAGCGGCACCAGCTTTGTGCTGCAGC